ACACTGATCACTGCTCTGGGATCAGTGCTCCTGTCACATGATAGCGTTGTGTTCATGAGGGTGGAGTGGCAAGCACAAGTCTAGGGGGTGGGGGGGGGCTGGGGACGTGAATGGCAACGTGATTCCCAGTCATTTTGTTTTAAATTCTCCCCTAAATGTGCCATAGGTGTCAATTCAAAGCGAGCACTTTATCTTTGTAAAAGCATAATTCAGACATACAGTACTTGGTTGCATTTTATTATTTATATTTAATATATTCGTATACTGCAATTTTTATTTCTATACTTAACATTTACTCATTGTTGGGGTGCCGAACCAATTTTCCTTTTATTTATAAAATGCCCCACGTTGTTGACTACAAACATGAAACACATTCATACAATCATTCTCGGTTAAGTATAAAATCCTTTTTTGTAATAAATGCGGCAGTATTTCATCAGTCATCCCTGCACATACACAACGGGGTGTTCAATACTGTACGAGCATGCAATAAATTACACAACTGTGGACCTAAGAATAAAAATAATGAACACTCAACCCTTCTTTGCTTTATTCAGGATGTCGAAAGGACCAGCAGTAGGCATTGATCTTGGCACCACCTATTCCTGTGTGGGCATCTTCCAGCATGGCAAAGTGGAGATCATTGCCAATGATCAAGGAAACAGGACCACACCCAGCTACGTGGCCTTTACAGACACTGAGAGACTGATTGGAGACGCGGCCAAGAATCAAGTGGCCATGAACCCATCTAATACAGTCTTTGGTAAATACAACACAATGATACCGATTTACTATTTTCCTAAGTCAACCACGTAGAATTGAGAGGTCTGTTCTTGGTCTGTCTGCAGATGCCAAGCGTTTGATCGGGCGTAAGTTTGATGACTCCGTGGTCCAGGCAGACATGAAGCACTGGCCCTTCAAGGTTGTGAATGACTCCACTAAACCCAAAGTGGAGGTTGAGTACAAGGGAGAGATCAAGACTTTCTACCCCGAGGAGATTTCCTCAATGGTCCTCACCAAGATGAAGGAGATCTCTGAGGCCTATCTTGGCAAGGTCGCAACACATTTTGGCTAAATAGAGCTTCATAGAATACCAAAGAATGTTTT